TAATTTGGTCTAGCCTGGCTACTTTTCCAATAATATTATATTCGTTGTAAATTTATTTTAAATTAAATAAGAAGTATAAAATAGAAACGAATCTATCCATAAATAAAATACTCGAATTGTGTAAAATGAGTCACTATGTATGAATTAAAGGAACAAGACAAACCCTCTAAATAACCATGTCTATACATATAATAAAACAGTAACGAAAGAAAAACTGTACATTGAGAATTTTTGAGAAAAAATTAGTGGCTTTTGTTAGAAAAACGTAACTGATGATAAAAAGTGACTTTTTACAATTTTTGTCTGTTTGTCTGTGAGTATGGTACGGCTTCACGCCAAAACTACTGGATAGATTGAATTGAAATTAAGCAAAAATGTTCTTTGTTTACCGAGAACGGCTTTAGGCTACATATTATCACGCCGTATGTTATAGGAGGTAAGCAATATTGATTTTAAAAAGTGTTTCTTCATAATTGAATGCACAAAATAATCATTTAAAGATTATTTGGTAAATACAAATTATTCTTACGATAATAAACCGAAATCACGTTCATTTTTTGCTCATTATCGTGATTTACAATACTTTAATGCACAACCAGGCATATTTTTATTAAAAATGCTGTGACCACGCGCATGTATTACACCCTCTAACGAAATATAGCAATACTACACTGAATATTTACTTAGAAAACATTTTAGCTATTTCCCAGTAGGTGACACTACTAAACATAAGGTTAAAATCCTATGTAGGCACATCGTTAATCACTAACGTATTTGTAAATAAATAGTGACGTTACTGGATAACAGAGGGCACTTATTACAATAATGATTTTTCTTTCTTCTCGACATTACAATAACAAGATTATTTGGTAAATACACATTATTCTTACGATAATAAACCGAAATCACGTTCATTTTTTGCTCCATATCGTGATTTACAATACTTTAATGCACAACCAGGCATATTTTCTTTAAAAATATTTTTAAAATTATAAAATGAATGCGTCTTGACCTTTTGACGATGTCACTTAGACTAAATGACAAAAATCGGAGATATATCATATAGGACAAAAGTTACAGATGACAATTTTGTTACTGATGTTCGGTCTATTACTACTACCTATTTAAATGTCTTTGCTTACAATCAAATTTGTTGTAATTAATTGATTTAAGTATGTAATTCTTAGCTTTGTTCCTTGCTGCTGTTACTATATTTTTTTAATGCAAAAATAATGTACTTGTCTGTTAAATTAACTAAAATTTAGTTTTAATTCATGATTTAATTAATTCATTTGGGTAAATAATATGTAGTTTCCGTTTTCTAACTAGATGTCGTTGGCGTTGAGTTAGATCGCGCTATGGTGTCGTCCCCAAAAAGTGATGTTATAGGTGCCGATGGGCCGCTCTCATCCTATCGAAACGGCAGTTACATTTGTTGTCTGCGTTGGTTGATGTGTTTAATTTTCCTGCGAATAATTATTATTCTACTTAACAGCAATTCTTACGTTAAGTACGTTCGATTACTTTTTTTTCATTTTCATTGTTTTGAATATCGTTAGTATCGGACTATCGGATTAAGAAGGAATTTTCAAAAATTCCTTCTTAATAATTTTAGCTATGCCTTTTAGAAAAAGATCAAATCTGTCTCGAAACTCAAGGATTTCTAAGATGCGCAGGTTAGTTCGATCTTTCGAAACCGACGCAGAGCGTGAACAACGGCTGGGTGCTAACCGTGAGCGTAATGCACTAAGTTTGTCCGCAGAAACTAGGACTTTAGAATTTAAACGAGTTCGCACTACCGCTTCTCGACACTCAGGAAAGTGTGGAACAACGAGAAATACGTTTAGCTATCGACCGGGATCGTCATTCTTTGTCTCGCGCATCCGAAACGGTTACACAGAGGGATCAGAGGTTGAGTCTTCAGAATATCCGCTCTGAGACTGCTCGATCACTTGAGAGCAGTCAGGAGCGTGAGATACGACTTGCGCGTGACCGAGAGCGTCATTCTTTATCTCGCGCTTCCGAAACGGAAACAGAGAGAGAGAGCAGAGATTAAGTCTTCATCTTTTACGCACTGAGACTGCTCGGTCGCTCGAGAATAGTCAGGAGCACGATACACGCCAAGCAAGCGATCGCGAGCGCCACGCAGTATCTCGCGCTTCGGAGACTTACACGCAGAGAGACTCGCGTTTAAGCTCCCAACGTATTCGCACTGCCACATCTCGATCACTTGAGAATCCTGAAGAACGTGAGACGCGACTTAGTGCAGACCACTCACAGCATGCTTTAGCTCGGTCTTTGGAGACAGACGAGCAGCGCGAGCAACGCAACGCACTTGCTCGGCAAAGATATCACGACATGCGTGTTGAAGTGTCTGTTCATTCCACGCAAGAACGTGAGCGGACTCAGGAAATTCGGGCAAGTCAGTCAGTCGAACAGCGTGTGGCCCAAATTGATCTAGACCGTATACGTCGCAATCTTTGCAATTCATCCTCATCTGATATTGAGTCTATGGTTTATGATCTTGAAGAGCAACCGTGGTTCATTAAAGAAAGGAGCGCGTTTTCCTATAATCCATTTATTAATTACATCGAACACGGAGACATTGGCACCATGTCTGAGGTTTGTGCACACTGTCACGCGCGTAAGTGGAAGGGAGAGACTAAGGGAATGTGTTGTGCGTCTGGAAAGGTACGACTAAACTCTATGCAAGAGCTACCGGAGATCTTACGAGTTCTTTTGAATAGCGAGCATCCCAATTCCAGCCATTTCTTAAGCAATATTCGAGCCTACAACAGTGCTTTCCAGATGACTTCATTTGGAGCTCATAAAGTCACTGAATCTGGATTCATGCCGACTTTTAAAATTCAGGGGCAAATCTACCATCGGATAGGTTCCCTGCTTCCCACCGAAATGCCGAAATTTTTGCAAATATATTTCATTGCAGATTTTGCTGAACAGGCTAATGTCCGATGCCGACACATACCTTATTTAGACTTGAGCCTTATAAGGGGATTACAAATCACTCTGCATAGTGTCAACCCATACGTTACCGATTTCAAAACCGCTTTGGAATCGGTGCCTGAACACGAGCGCGATAATTTTAAATTCGTTATTAACGCAGACAAAAGACCGACTGCAGCCCATCCAGGACGATATAACGCACCAACGTTAAACGAGGTAGTCGTCCTCTTGGTTGACCAGGATTGCGACAAAAGAGACATTGTTTTACGCACACGTGATACGCCTACAGCGTATCAGCGAGACACATCGCGCTTATGATACCCTACAATATCCCCTAATGTTTCGAAGGTGGCTATCACTTTGCCGTATACAATGTAGACCCGCAGACAGGTGCCCCAAATTATAACAAAAAGACTTCCGCTCTCCAGTTTTACAGTTACATGATTCAGCTCCGTTCCAACGACTACTCTCATCTCCATTATTACCGTGCACTCTTTAGTCAATTTCTGGTAGATGAGTATGCTCAGAAATTGAAACGGAGCGGTTGGTGTTCATTAGAACGAATCAGCGGAAACTAAGGGCGGAAAACTACGTGCACCTAAGGGACGCCATGCGAGAGGACTCTAACGCGGAAAATATTGGACGGATGGTGATACTCCCTTCCACCTTTACGGGAGGTCCGCGGTACATGCACGAGCGGACACAGGACGCATTCTGTTACGTGCGCAAGTACGGTAGACCGGACCTCTTCATCAGCATCACTACCAACCCTAAGTGGCCCGAAATAACCAGCGAGCTCTTAGCAGGGCAGGTGCCACATGACAGGCACGACTTGATTTCTCGGGTGTTTCATTTAAAATTAAAGTGCCTGATGGATATTCTCACAAAAGAAAAACTATTTGGTGCTACCAGATGCCACATGTATTCGGTAGAGTGGCAAAAACGCGGCTTGCCTCATGCGCATTTGCTTTTGTGGTTGAAAGATAAAATCAGGCCCAACGAGATCGATGATGTCATAAGTGCTGAGCTACCAGATCCCAACGTTGACCCCGTTCTGTACCAAATTGTAAAGGGTTACATGGTGCATGGTCCTTGCGGAGCCCTAAATCGCAATTCTCCTTGCATGAGGGACGGACGGTGCTCAAAAAGGTTCCCGAAGCGATTTAGCAGCGAAACACTTACAGGTGAGGATGGATACCCTTCATACCGGCGTCGATCTCCTGCTGAGGGTGGCAGTCATGCCGAGTTAACTATGCGTGGCCAGGCAGTCGAGATCGACAACAGGTGGATAGTTCCATACTCACCTGTACTTTCCAGGACGTTCAGTACCCACATTAACGTCGAGTCGTGCACAAGCGTACAGTCGATTAAATACATCTGTAAATACGTCAACAAAGCTAGTGACCAGGCAACGTTCGCTTTACAGAGTACTGACAAGGATGAAGTGACCAAGTACCAGTCTGGTCGCTACATCAGCACTTCTGAGGCGGTTTGGCGGATACTGGCCTTCTCCATACACGACAGGCATCCAACAGTCATGCATTTAGATGTCCATTTAGAGAATGGCCAGCGCATTTATTTTGACCCTGATAACGTTGCAGCGAGATTGGAAAATCTGCGCCAAACCACTCTATTGGCCTTTTTCAGACTATGTGAAGGGGACAACTTTGCTAGATCACTCACCTATGATGAGGTGCCGTCGTACTACACGTACGACAAGCAAGAAGGTGAATTTAATCGACGTAGACGCGGACACGCCGTGGACGGGTTTCCGGGAATCTTTAAGGACACCGCATTGGGACGGGTTTACACTGTGTACCCAAATAATGACGAGTGCTATTATTTGCGAATATTACTGCGCACAGTGCGGGGCCCACACTGCATTTCTAAGGACAGTCGATGACATTCACTATCCCACATACCGCGCTGCTTGCGTAGCACGCCACCTTCTCGACGGTGATCAGCACTGGGACAACGCACTTGAGGAGGCCAACATTAGTGACAGTCCCAGTCGTTTGCGACATCTGTTTGCCGTCATGTTGGTGTTCTGCGGTATTGCAAATCCGCTTCTGTTGTGGGAGAAATATCGGCATCTTCTGTCCGAAGACTTCCTAAGAGCTCCGAGATGCACTACTGGAGATAATACTGAGGCAACTGATGAGCACGTTCTAAACAGTTGCCTTAGTTCACTTCAAGACATGGTCATTTCGATCGGCGGCAGTTCTCTGGTGGATTATGGGCTACCGTCTCCACAACATCTGGATGTACAAGAGCGTGGAAACAGAGAGTACAACTCTGAAATAAATTATGATCTTGCTATGAGTACCGTCGTCAATGACCATGTCTGTAAGTTTACCTCAGAGCAAAAGCAAATTTTCGACACCATCCTTGAAAGTGTTGGGCTCGACCAAGGTAAAATTTTTCTTGGATGCTCCTGGTGGAACAGGGAAAACATTTGTCACCGCTGGCATTCTCGCAGAGGTCAGGAGGCAAGGCAAGATTGCTGTTGCAGTAGCATCGTCAGGAATTGCCGCAACACTGCTTCCTGATGTCAAAACAGCGCACGCAATGTTTAAGATTCCCATAGATTTAGAGAGTAAAACACCTGTTTGTGGAGTGTCACGCAACAGTGACAAAGGGCACGTGCTTAAAGATTGCTCTTTAATCGTGTGGGATGAAGCACTATGGCGAACAGAAAAGCAGTAGAGGCGGTAAACAGGACTTTGCAGGACATCCGCAGGAACCAGCAAATTATGGGTGGCGTTACAGTTCTGTTTAGCGGCGATTTCCGACAAACGCTGCCTGTGGTGACGCGAGGAACTAGAGCTGATGAGGTGAATGCTTCGTTGAAATGCTCTTCCTTATGGCCACATATTCATAGGTTGCGCTTAACGATGAATATGAGAGCACAGCTTGGCGGGAATGTACACGCCCAAGAATTTTCTGATGTTCTCTTAAAATTGGATGAGGGAACGTTACCAGTAGCCAGTGGCCAGGTGGTTCTACCTGAGATACTTGGGAGAGTGGTGTCCACCTTAGAAGATTTGATTCGCCTGGTGTACGGGGACATCAATAGGATACCGAACCAAGATAATTCTTGGGTGTGTGAACGAGCCATTTTAACACCCAAAAACGACCAAGCTTCTACGATCGATGAATGCATTCTCGCCGAAATTGAGGGAAATGAAGTGATCTACACCTCAATAAACACTGTGGTCGACCGAGAGGACGCTACACATTACCCCGTAGAATTTCTCAATTCCCTCAGTGCAAGTGGACTGCCAGCGCACACCATTAAGCTAAAGGTCGGTGTCCCAATTATGCTTCTTCGGAATCTCACTCCGCCAAAACTGTGCAATGGGACCCGGCTCAAAGTCGTCTCGCTGCAGAGAAATATCATTGAGGCGGAAATTCTAACGGGTTGTGGTGTCGGCGAAACAGTGTTTATACCACGTATATCACTTATTCCCACAATTACCCCTTTCAATTCAAGCGCGTGCAGTTTCCTGTGAGCGTGTGCTTCGCCATGACAATAAATAAGTCGCAGGGGCAGACACTGAAGACTGCGGGTGTCGACCTCTGTACGAGTGGCAAGCAACTGTACGTGGCTTGCTCCCGCGTCACCAGTCCTGACTCGCTGTAAATATTGAATGAGACCGAGGGAAAAACAACGAACGTTGTTTACACAGAAGTGTTACAGTAAATTACAACACTTCTGTTATTCGACGTCACCAAAATTTCCTTATTAACCTGACGTCTTTTACCAGTAAATTAACTACATAACTTTCAAATTTGAGTTTACTAAGCTAAATAGTTTTTGAGGTAGGTATCTAAGCTTTAGTATAAGTATGGGATGCGTCTTTTGAGTGTTTCTGTAAATCTACAAACTATCACTAACTATTATTAAAATAAAAATAGAATAAAAAATAGTTATGCGATACGTGGGCAAAGCCACGTGTACAGCTATAGTTTATAAAGTATTTTTTTTGTAGTGCGTTCCGCACCGGATCGGTGAAATATACGGGATGAAAAGTTTTTTGTTGTATAGGTGTTAAGTCTAGGCAACATATAGGCTATAATTTATTTTGGAAAATGGAACACCTGATGCAGAACCGCAACAGACCAGCTAATGTATAAGAGATATAAAAATGGTGCCATAGCAAAAAATATTCCACGTGAAGAGTATTTTCTGCTGTGAGAATAAATTTGAAGATCTGGAACACCTGTTGTGGAACTCCAAAGCCCAGCGACATTATAACATATATAGGAAATAGGAATGACGTCTTAGCAAAAGTTGTTTAGTCTGATGGGCATTTCCTGTTGACTTACAAAAATGAAAGATCTGGAACGTCTCGAATTGTTTGGCGCATCACATTGTTTTCCCGTCCCCGGGCTCTTTGAATTTGATTTTGACGACCCCGTTGTCGCTGGCATAAGCAACAGGATCCGCGTACGAAGTCGCGGGCAGAAGCTAGTAACATATCTAGGAATGACGTCTTAGCAAAAGTTGTTTAGTCTGATGGGCATTTCCTGTTGACTTACAAAAATGAAAGATCTGGAACGTCTCGAATTGTTTGGCGCATCACGTAGTTTTCCCGTCCCCGGGCTCTTTGAATTTGATTTTGACGACCCCGTTGTCGCTGGCATAAGCAACAGGATCCGCGTACGAAGTCGCGGGCAGAAGCTAGTAACATATATAGGAATGACGTCTTAGCAAAAGTTGTTTAGTCTAATGGGCACTTCCTGTTGACTTACAAAAAATGAAAGATCTGGAACGTCTCGAATTGTTTGGCGCATCACGTCGTTTTCCCGTCCCCGGGCTCTTTGAATTTGATTTTGACGACCCCGCTGTCGCTGGCATAAGCAACAGGATCCGCGTACGAAGTCGCGGGCAGAAGCTAGTAACATATATAGGAATGACGTCTTAGCAAAAGTTGTTTAGTCTGATGGGCACTTCCTGTTGACTTACAAAAATGAAAGATCTGGAACGTCTCGAATTGTTTGGCGCATCACATTGTTTTCCCGTCCCCGGGCTCTTTGAATTTGATTTTGACGACCCCGTTGTCGCTGGCATAAGCAACAGGATCCGCGTACGAAGTCGCGAGCAGAAGCTACTTTTAAATGAACTTGCTCATCTTATGAATCTTAGATTATTTGTGCTAATGAATTAGTACACATATATAACTTAATTGAAGAAACGAAATACTTAAGCAGTATATATATATATATATATATATAATAGTATATCTGATATTTGAAATAATTGTTGTGTCGTCTGTCGCCGGTGGGTCTCTTAGCGCGAATGATGAACTGGCTAGACCAGAAGTCGGCAACCTTTTAAGTCGGAAGAGTCAAAAATTACAATTAACAAAATGTCAAAGTTTTTAAAGAGCCACAAATATTTTTCTTGCAAACCATAAAAATAGTATTTGCATAAATAAATTTTTTAATAAAAAACTTATGTTTGTTTATTAGGTAATCACTCATTATTAAAATAGAAAATTAGAACAATGAATCATTTACATATTATATATATTGTAAGTCTTACAACACTACCTTGTACTTCAAAAACAAACAATTGAGCAAAAAAATTAAATGGAAGCTTTGGCTTTGCATAGTTATTTAAGTAGAATATTTAAGCATTATTCAATAATGTAACTTATACTTAAAAATAAAAAAGCAATAACATACATTTGAACAAACAAATTTAATGGGAGCGTTGGCTTTATATCGTTTTAAAAGATTGGATAAATTTGGCTCATAACTTGTTGCTCATAACAAGTTTCAAACACGAATCGAAATTATCATTTGTTAGATGGCTTCTTACCTTACTTTTAGTTATATTCATGTAAGAGAACGCTTGCTCGCACGAATATTTCGATCCGAAGATAGTCAGCTTTCCAAACGCCAACTTTTACCCCTCTCTGTAGCAATCTTGAAGACTATTCTATGCGTCGAATATAAGTGCCTTAACTCGCGTCATTTATTTTATAACTGTTCATTTTTGTTGCGATACGTACATATATTTCTGGACCTCCAGCTCTTCCAAACTGCTTTTCAACACTGTAAATTTTCCCCTCTACAAAGCTTTATTTTTTAAATAGATCAACTGTATTTCTAGAAATCCAGTATCAACTTCAAATGGCCCAGTGTGGATTTCGTGTGCGTGGGTGCGGTGAAAAGCGAGTACAAGTGGCTAAGAGATAGAAATGGTGCCTAATACTCGATATTCGATTCAGAAAGATTTTGAAATGTTTTTTTTTTTTTAATAAAATAATTACTATTTGCGCATGGAACTAAAGAGTCGCAGCTTCACATCCAAAGAGCCGCATGTGGCTCGCGAGCCACAAGTTGCCGACCCCTGGGCTAGACCGTTGTGTTGAGTGCGGGCATGGTACCTACTGTCCCCACCGAAACGTCACTGTCGTTGTTGCGTTTGTTCTCCCACATCTTCTACTGTGTTGATGTTCAATGATTAACTGGAAGAGGGAAAATATTATTATAAGCTCTATGTATGTTTCCCTTCTTGATTTTGATGTTGACGCAAGACGTTATCGCTGTCTGGATAGGTCTTAACGACGCGACCGAAGGTCTAGTAACTTAATTTTAACTCAACAGTGCATTAACTTTTCTTTAATTTTTTATCACTTCAAAAATTTGTCGGATTTTAGCCATTATTAGTTAATTTATGAACAGTATTGGTAGTTATCAACCGACTACAGGACTTATTATAACGTACGGGTAGAGACAGAATAGAGGCTGATTCGTCTCATCCTACGCGTCGATAAAATTTGAATATAAAAAGAGAATTTTCCAAACCGGTTCAGGCGGCTTTGAGTAATTGGTAAACATACATAAATACAGATTCAGACGAATTGATAACCCCCTCCTTTTTTGAAGTCGGTTAAAACTAAATAAGATCTTAAATCATTTAAAGTAGTTGAACGTGATAATGTTAACTAACAGAATGGGACGATGGTTGTTTTCTACGCGCACTAGCAGTTAAATAAATTAGATAAATCAGGACACACGCCGACGGAGGCACTTACCAACTTTTTCCGATGTCGACACTTTTATATTTGTATTTACGCGATCCATTAAGAATATGTTTTTGGTGCCGTATATTTATTATGAATAAATGTTTTCTTTTGTTGTATTATAAAAAATAGTCGTATACTTATTATTCTATACAGACGTAATTTTTGCCATAAATGTCACGGCATTTTTGCGATCAACCCGGGTTCGATATCCGCCGGCATCGATTTAATTGTTAGTAGCAATTTAAAGTGCTGATTACTTGTTCGGTAGTAAAGCAAAACATCGTGACTAAGCTTGCACTTTTGAGGAACAAAAATAATTCCAAGATATTTTTTATAGGTTAAGGGTGATAAGTACTAGTACTCGACACAGTCCACCTAATGTTAAGTGGTTGCTGTGGCCCATCGACATCTACATCAATCCTCATTTGAGAATCAAAATACAGATGCGTTGTCAGCCGTAAGGACTAAGATGGAATAACTCTTTTTCAGTAAAAGGGGTCTCCGGTTCTCTACACTCACCATACGAAACACAGCAGCATTAAGCTGATATTTTACGCTGGTGTTCTGTGAGGGCGTGGTCCTTCCCCGTCATGCCGACCCATATATGCTAGAACTATACTATTAATATAGCTGTAGCCATTTTTATTAGTGCATGCCCATAAAGTATGACATTGACAGGTACTGTCTGTACTACTAAGAAATTCAAGACTTCATAGGCGTGATTTTTACTGACAGCTGTCGCAGAGATCAAGCTATCTTTTATGAACTATACAAGGCTAAATACTCAGACACTCATTGACAAAAGAAATCATTCAACACATTTACATAAAGTATAGTTCATAAAGTATAGTTTCCTTATTGTAATGACTCTTTATCACAATTCCTCATGTTAATGATGACCAGTTACAGAAAACACTTCTGTCCATCAAGTCTCATCATCAATGAGTCTGGTTTCTGCTCTGGGCAGAGCCACCCTTCTTGTATAATCGTATAAATAATATATTAACATTTTTTTATAGAAAAGGGGACAAGCGAGCATGCAGTTCACCTGATGGTAAGTGACTACCGCCGCCCATGAACAACCGCAACACCAGGGGAATTGCAGTTGCGTTGCCGGCCTTTTAAAAAGGAGTAAGCTGTTTTAAAGGTCCCTAAGTCGTATCGGTCCGGAAAAATCGCCGGTGGTAAACAATTCCACAGAGAATTTGTAGGATGAAGAAAACCCCTAGTAAAATGCACAGTGATGGACCGCGAAGCATCCAGATGGTAAGGATGGTATCGTGAATTTTGACACGATGTGCGTTCGTGAAATTTGGCGGTTGGAATTAATCCGAACAATTCCTCACCGTAGTTACCACGTATAAAACTTCAGAATAATTTTATGGCTTCCTATAGATGGCTGTATAACCTCATCCCAATTACCCCGAACATGTAATACTGTGACCGGCAATGGGAAACAGCATCAAAGTGCGAGACTTTTGTTTAATAAGACAATAAGATAATAAGACTAGCCTGGTATAGACATGTGAATTAATACTAGCCATTTTTACTAGCAATGGGCCGGCCATATAGCTCGAAGAACCGGTAACCGATGGGGAAGAAAGGTTCTCGAGTGACAGCCTCGTACCGGTAGGCGTAGTATAGGGCGACCCTCCACTACATGGAGTGACGACCTGGTAAGGCATTCAGGAAGTCGATGGATGCAGGTGGCTCAGGACCGTGCTTTGTGGCATTACTTGAGGGAGGCCTTTGTTCAGCAGTGGACTTATGACGAACTGTAATGATGATGAATGATGATTTTTACTCGTGTGCCTTTTCAATAAAATATATATTTTAAAGATAATTTTATTGCGAAGACTACTTACTGGTTGTAGTAAATGATAAAGGATGTTTGCTCAATATCGCTTATGAATCACGATTGCCAAATATTGAAACGTTAAAAACACCGTGCTGGATATCTACAAACAAAAAATGCATGATTTTGGTTTAGTTTCGTCAAAATTCTGAGTGTGAATAGCTAAGACCTGAAAATTACGTTTCATTTTTAATTAGATACTAGATGGTTGAATTATTGATGAAATTAAAACTAACTGAAAATAAAATTATCTCTATTTAATTACATAATATTTTAATGAAAGAACAGGTGAGTAGAATTGCGAGTACCACTTCACCTGATAATCTGATATTAGGAAATAGAACATTGCACCAACCAACCTACATTTACATATTTTCTGTGCTCTGAAATTTTGACTGGAATTGAATTTGTTTGATAGGCAACTGAGTGAAGCGTGTAAAGACTACAATATTTTTAATCAAGGGAAGCCATTTATTTGCGTATTATAATTTTATTGGGCAACTCATCCATTATATATTTGCCTGCACATTACCTATGTTTGAAAAAGTACTGTTAGTCCAGTGTGCACATGGGTGAAAGACGATATATACGTAATAGATGTTGAGGATTCAAAACCATGATTCAAAAGAACGAGCAGATAGTCCACCTGATGACAATAAGTGGATGCTACGGCCCATAGACGTCTACATTTATCCTTTTTACGTAAAAACATAACATTGAGATTACTAACATAATACTAAGATTATTGAGATATTATTGAGATTACTTGAGATTTTAATCCCATCCGTGCGACAGCAAAAGCTGTCGGCCCATCCGTGCGATAGCAAAAGCTGCCGGCCGGCTGGAACCGGGGTGGACCAAGACCTTACAGAATACCAACGTGCAGTAGAGGTTTACCTCTGCGTTTCGCTTGGTAAGTGCAGGTGGCCAGAGGCCTAGTCCCCCCCCCCTTAAAATGGTAGTGCAATCAAATAAAAAAACCTGCCGAAAGAAGGTACCAGCACCCCTGGTGACAGAGAATCTCTCGCTGAGCATCCGTGACCAAGCTATTCTACTCCTCATAAGCGTGGGTGCTCAGACTGCCCCGCATTCTAGGGAGGTGAAATTTGTGTGTGAACTCGGGGAAAGCGGAGCAATAGGACCAAGGCGACCCCTGTTACGCTATCCGTGAATTCTTACAACATCAGGGAACTTTATTCCAAACTTAATTCTGTCCACTACCATCTGGAGATGGCGAAGCCGGCCTTGCTCTTTTTAACCGAGACTCAGGTATCCTCTCCGGCTGATAGTTCATATCTCTCCTACCCAGGGTACAAATTGGAACACTCCTTTGTGCCCCGGGCTGGAGTTTGCGTATACGTCAGTATCCTTACAGAATCCTTATTAAAGCATATCCCATTCGCAGATATTGTGATAATTAAACGCCCATCACCGTTCACGTTTAACCAATCACGCGGGGAGATCTTTTTATGACTTTGCTTTGGCATATGTTCTTACGTAGCTGGTTACTTCGCCTTCGCCAGATGTGGAGGATCATGTACCTTCCCTGTTAGACCTTCTACTGACCTCTCATCTGAACGGATATCAGGTTTCGGTCACCGCCCCTCTAGGCTCATCGGACCATTGTCTTGTCTGGAGTGTGGTGCCACTCACACTCGCGGTCGTATTCTACAGGCTGCCGCCGTGGCACTATAGGTCAGCTGATTGTGATAAGATGCGGTCTTTTTTTTTGAATTCTACCCTTGGGGTTGGGCTTGCTTCTCACCAGACGATCCCAGCATTGTTGTTGATTCTGACGCTGACGTGGTACTTCAGGGTATGGAACTTTTATTCCATCCTCCGTAGTGCATGGTCGTAGTGTTTTGTCGCGCCTATAAAATAGCATCACGAGATAGGCAGGAGTGCTACCGGGCCTGAGCTAACGTATCAACGTCTCGGAATGTAAACACCAGCGCTCTTAAAAAGCCCTACCATCACCATTTCTTCCATCCTGCAAGAGGACTCTCACTCCCATGGCGCAATGGAGAAAACCGAGCCTGTTAGGCTCTCTTTTTGCTTTCAACTCGTCTCTCGATGACGGGAGAACACAACGGCGAACATCCCGTAGAGTGACTGCTCTATGCCGGATATGCCTTTTACACAGTTCCCGGTTCGCAAAGCACTCCTCTTCCTGGACGACAGCAAGTTGAATGGGCCTGATGCAGACCTTTCCATTGTGCAGAAGACGTGTTCTCCGGAGTGGGCACCGGTTTTAACGCATCTTTTCCGGTATTCCTACTCCCAAGTCATAGTCCAGAATTCATGGAAGACAGCTTTGGACCACCCGATCCCTAAAAAGGCGAACACTCAGACCCATCCAACTACAGGCCTATTGACACCAGCTCCTTATTCTCCAAAATAATGGAGTTGATTATAAACTGCCAGCTCATGAGGTACCTTGAGGATCAACAGCTGATTATTTTCGTGTTGGTCGATCAGCTGGTGATTTTCTAGTCTATCTAACTAGTAGATGGGCGGAGGCAGTAGAGTCCAAGAGGTAGGCATTGGTCATTAGTAGCCTATTAACGCTGGTGTTCCACAATGCTGCGTACTATCACCAACGCTGTTTCTTCTGTATCTCAATGATATGTTGCAAACTGGTAACATTCTTTGCTATGAGGATGACAGCACCGCCGTAGTCGCATAGCAATGAATGATGAATGAAACCGTCCTCGAGTATCGGGACAAACTTTTATCTGAAGTCTAGTCTTTGCTGAATAAAGTTTCGAAATAGGGCGAATAAATCTAGTTCAATCGGTTCAATCCCCAGAAGACACAACGCGTTGCGTGTTAACCGCTAAAAAGAACCCCTTTGTTGTATCTCCTCAGTTTGAGGGCACTCCCTTTGCTGCTAGCTAGTATCGGAATCCTTGGCGGCGTCATATAAATTAGTGTGCAGTTTTGTGGTCACTTGTAAGAGAAGGCAAATTAGCCTCTTAAAAGCTTGGCGAGCTCAGCCGAGCGAGACAGTATTTCATGCCGGTACATCGCTTGCAACTTTAGAAAGCGCAAGTTCGTCCTCACATGGAATACTGTTCTCATCTCTAGGCGGGGCCACCCCAGTACCAGCTCCTTC